TTCTTCAAAATTGTCTCACAGGCAATGTCACCCTGAATTGCTTTTTAAATTCAGTGTATACATTAAGAATAAACAATTCTGATATGTGTTTTGAAACTGCAGATGGAATTGACTGCTATCCAGTTACGCAAATGCCACACAATGCATTTCTGATAGCATCTCTATTGTTTGCCAACATAAACCTTGCTGTTCCAAGAGAAATTAGTCTTGTGACTAATCAACAAGAGTTCCAGTGGTTTGTTCAAAAACAAAACCAATAACAAGCTAAACCACTTAAAACTCTACCCACAGAATAAGCAGAGAGTCATCAAACCCAACCCTTTTACAAACAAAAATCAGTGTCCAGGGTGTCTGCTTGCTGCAGTTTGTAAGCTCTAGTCAGAACTGCAGATCATTGAAGGATATTTATAGTGCTCCTGTTGCCCCTCACATTGCTGCTATCACACTGTGAACTAAAGTTTCTCTGCTCCAGGAATGCTGCAGAGAAAGAACTACAAGAACAGGTTTTTAGAATTGCTTCCTAATATTTTCAGTATCAGGGACAGAGAAGTTCTGGTCCAAGACAGGTCAGTGTTGGACAGCGGCACAAGAGCCCCTCCACCAAGGCTGACGGAGAGCAAGGCTGAGCAGAGACAGCAGTGAAAGGGTATTTAAGCACATTTGATCTAGAGACAGCAGTGCATAACTTGGTTTCAACAATATGAATAAAGGTCTGTCTGATACCACTTCTAATAAGTTCCTGTTACAGGTAACATCGTTGCTTGAGCAAACGAGTAGCAGTGGACACAGACATGAAGTAAAACCAGTCAGAATCCAGGATCGGTTCAGAGGTGCTTTCTACGGTTGTACATGATTATGTAATTAATCATCAAGTTAAAGCTAGGAAAGAACTTTTCTCTTTTGGCAGTTTTTGTCTTGTTGAGATTTGTGCACCCTGAAGGGAATAACTGAAGTCTGCCAGTCTGCACAAAAATAAATATTCTGTTTTGTAAATACCGTCTGAAAAGTGTGGAATTCTTCCCATTTGGCGTGAAAGACACCTTTTTCCCCACAAGCACACATGCAGTAGAACTAGCAAAGAAACCACTTACGCATCTAAAATTGACCTTCCGCATGTTTAACACTTTTTTGATGTCAGGTTTCTCATAAATTAGATCAGCCTTTCCTACAAGTGACCACAACTGCAGCTTGGTTAGTTAAATGCTTCTGCAAAACTAAAAAGGAAACAAAAAAGGAGGAAATAGGAAGAAGCCTAGTTGCAATAAATTATCTTTAATCTTCAGCCAACTGCACACTAAACACATGCCTCAAACTATTTAAATTACAAAATGTTGGTTTAGATTTCACAATTTATTTTTAGCACTGAAGTTCTTCAGCCAAATTTGTTGTGTGTGGAGGGGTGGGAAACAGAGAAACGATCTTAATGGTTCAGATGTTTGTTTAGAGCATGCAGGAAGTGATGCGCTCCTGGTGGAACAGTGGAGACACACATCAGAGATAAGCACAGACAAAACCAGCACCCTCCAGTTCTGCCTACAGCCCCAATAATCTTCACTAATCAGGCAACTGCTTTTCTTTTGGTTGTCTGGCAGTTTCTTCACAGTCATCTCCAGTGTCATCATATCAACACTGAGACCAACAAGTACCTCTACTTCTGCAAACATATCTGAATACTTCACTAGAAAAAAAAAACCAAAAAAAAAAAACCAAAAAAAAACACATTCAAAGACTTCCAGTCATATATCTAAGTCCAGAAGTTTATCCTGCTGGCAAAAACAGAAAGTGGGTCATTTTAAGAGAGCAGGAAGGGAGACAGATAAAGAAGCTGAAGTCTCAAACACTCAAGAGTTTCTTGTTCTTCTTGAATTCAGAACTTCCTTATTTGTGAGACTGACTTACAAGATTGACTCTTACTGTGGAAAAAAAATAGCACCCAAGTGTGTAACTCAAGACTAGATCATAACCAGCAAAACCCCACAGAAGCTTTAATCCTGACATCTTCTAATTGTGTGTGGGTGACAAATGTAACCCTGGTTTGATGGAATGCTTTATTACTAGAACTGTTTGCCACGCCACATGGCAGCATAAAACACTTTCCACAGACACTAAGAGCAGCAATGACCAATCATGTACAGGCACCAGACAGTGGTGCTGAGGAAAGCCACTTATCTGCACCAAGGTTTTAAGGGAAGGGTGGCACCGAAATGAGAAGAAGAGTGAGAGTTAATGGCAACCAGAAGATAAAGCAAAAATAGGGTTAATACTGATCTCTGCTGTTGCCTTCTTTACATTCATTATTCATTATCTGATCCTCTGAAATGACAGTTCTCACTATAAATACCCCTATAAATCCCTCCATAATAGTTTATTTGTTGGACACCTGACTGTAAAAACTCTTCAAAGCCCAAATTAACCTGATGCCTCGTGTATACATAGGGAGAGCATACAGTGGAGAGATTGCACTGCTTGGTAACTCTAAGTCTAAATTCAACCTCAATCAAGTTTGATTTGTTTAGTTTAAAAAAAAAAAAAAAAGGAAAAAGAAAAGAAACTCCCTTCTCCCCACTGATACCTAAATACTGTCCAAAGTTCTGGAAGTAACTGCTACCACTATGTAAAAATGACAGCATTGGTAGAAACACATGATCTCAACTGAGAAAATTCAATATGATCTCTAACCATGGGGCTCAAGAGAGCTGCTCAGGATGGAAATAAGCTGCTTCTGATAAATTTAAGTAAGGAGAGGAAAAGAAGTGCAGAGGAGT